AGGCCGTCGTTCGGTAGAATTTCTTCTTGACGTTTCGCAAGCACGAGTGGCTTGCATCTTCAGAAGTGGTTTGCTTGAAGGCTTACACTGTTCTGATGTCATCACACATCAGAACGACGGCCTAAAAACCCGAAAACCCATTAGTTTCGTCCAAAAACAGTCAATTGCTGAAACCTTTTTGCACTTTTGGTTTGCCACAGCTTTCCACTCCATTGCTTCCCTTATTAACATTCCACTCCAAATTTTACTAATCACCTTTTGATTGCATGACTCGTTTTGCCAGTCCATTTGCGAAACATTTAGCAAAAACTCAGAACAATTCGGTCCTACACTTTAATGTGCTTTATGGCTCACGTGGGCGAGATTCAATCGCGATTAGATGGCAGATAGCTTAAATTTTGTTCTATGTGACCCATCAGGATAACCTTGTGGTTTCAGGCATTTATTTGAAGAGAAAATCCTCTTAGCGCCGCTACATAACTTTCAGGAAAAAGAGTACTTTTAATGTGAATATTAACGCCGTGGTGTTCTTGCAGACATGTGCTGTATCTGGAAGAAGCTACACTTACGGAATGTTGAGGATGTTGATAAACAGATGCGCGCAGGCTTTATTGAGCCACTGCGGCCTCAAGTCTGGAGAAGTTGTCGCTCTTCTGCTGCCCAACATTCCCGAGTACATTATCGTATGCCACGGAGCCATGGAAGCCGGCCTCACTGTGACTTTCGTCAACCCCCTGTACACACCTGGTAAGTCGCAAAAAAATCAAAATCATCCCTGGACTTGTTTGAACCGCCCTGCCGGTTTGCAGACGAAATCAAGCGACAGTTTGAAAATGCCGGTGTGAAAATGATCATCACCATCCCGCTGCTGCTGGAAGTTGCAACCACGATTGGCCCAACTCTTCCAGGATACCGGTAGGTTTATTTGGTAGACGCAAGCCAGGATTGCACTTACTGTGGAATGTTTTTGCGCTTTGCAGATCAACCATTTGCATTGGAGGCGATGATGATCCGTCGAAAAACGTCCATGGGTTGATGAGCCTGTTGTCGGCAGGATACGAAGCTGAGCTACCGGAAATTCATCCGGATCAGCTGGCTTTGCTGCCTTATTCCAGCGGAACTACGGGTTTACCCAAAGGCGTCATGCTGTCCCATCGGAATCTCGTTGCCAACATGATCCAGGGCGATCATCCAGCGCTCATTGGAAACATCACAACTAAAAGTAAGGACGATGATGATTTCTTTTTAGTATACCTACGTAAAAAACTAATTTACTTAACTTACTAACTTACTTAATACTTTTCGCATTGTAGCATGTTTTTGTGACTGCTCTTGTGTATGTTGTTCATGCACGTCTGCTACAACTTGTATCTGAATAGGACTAAAAAATCAATTAATCTTGGTGATTGGAAGACGTTCTATCTGTTTAAAATAGACGGTAAAACGAGGAAGAGCTATAGAGATAGGATACACTTGACACACTATATGTATACATAATGTAAGCCATCGCGCGTATGTTCAAAAAAAATATTCTAACTGAACTAATCCAAGGCTAAAAAATTATACTAAATTGAGAATATTTGATCATAAAGGAATCAAAGGGTATATGAAAGGAAAAAATCCATTTTGATGCGTGGTAGACACAATTAATCATAGAAATAATATAGAGAATTGAAAATATGCCCTAATAAATTCGTTTTACATATTTTGCAACTATAAGCTGAAGGCAGATTCGTATCGTCTTAACATCAAGAATGCGTTGCGGGATAGAAAATATGAAGACGGAACCCATGTTTTCTGAAGTAACCGAGGTAAACTCAAATAGCTTTTCAATTAAATTCAAAACACATTTATTACATATTATTACAAAACAGTAATGATGTTTATCATTTTATGTTAAATATGAAAGATTTCAAAATAGATACCTAAATATTGATAATTTGTTGTTACAAAATAAAATAACAAATAATAGAACATATTATTGCATTAAAAGTGATTAATAATAGTTGTGACCCTTTATTTGCACTTAATCTTGAGCGTTTTTCATAAATTGACCCTGCCTTCTTTAGAAAATATCCGCTCAACATCTGGTTTAACAATTGTTTCCGATGAAAATCACTAAACAAGTAG